AACACAGTATGATAGAGGTATAGATAGTGTAAATTTAAATGGCTAAAATATGTAAAACTTTCTTAAATTTCAAGTGATTTTTATGTAACATCCTTAATGTTTGGAAAATTAAAATTAATGCCTCTAAACTCAAAAACCTAAACAAATATTCAAAAGGAAAATGATAATTAGAAATCTTATATATCAGTGACAATTGAAAACATCAAATCATTGAAATATCACAGAAGGACCATGATAATTACTTGTAATTAGAAAATAAATAATTGTAAAAATAACTAATGAAACATGACTTGTGGATTTAAGTAAAGTTGGCTATGAATTTAGGTAATGTTACTTGTGAATTAATAACAAGTCAATAATTAATGGATAGATAGTTTTATGAACTCGTTGTCACTTATAAATTTGAGATTAGGATAGTCGTTTATGAATTTTAAGAAGATCAATAGTAACTTTATAAAACTTCAATTGTAAATGAATAGATAGTATAATGAATTCATGCATTAATTGTGATTAAAAATAGTCAATTTTAAAGACTCCTAACATTATCTACTTATTTTCAAATTGTTATTTATCTATACTCAATTTATTAGCTTCTAATATCCAAGTTGTTTTTTCATCTATATCCAAATTGTTATTATAATTTCAAGTAGTAGTAGTTGTTAACTATATATAATATTTGGTATCATCATGTCAAAATATTCAAGTGATCCCGTGCTTAATTATCTTAAATTTTATTCATTTGATTACCACCCCTCCTCAAAATTAACACATTGGTTGCCGGAGCTTTATCATCTGATGAAGCCAAAGCTTTAGTGGTGGTGGATGTGTTAATTTTTTTAATATGATAGCTGTGTTTGGGAAGTTATACATAAAATTCACTTATAAATAAAGGATTTGAGTTCCAAAAATAATTTATATATTTGATGATATCTTTTTTTTAAGCAAAATATTTGATGATATCTTGAATCCATACTTTATAGTGATTTTCTGATGTATGAATCCCATTCATAAATAAATTTTGGAAAAACGATAAATAACTTACTTTGAAGTCTCCAAGATTTTATCTGAATGTTTTTAGTGAAAAATTTCTCATCTTGAACGAAATAATAAAAAAGGCAGTTGTAAAATTTTTAATGAAAAAGATAAAATTATTAATACACGATTGTTATTGTTTTTAATTATGTGATGAAAAATATATTTCTTATCTTAATTTCATCTTCAACGACTTCAAAATAAGAACACAGCTTATTTAACATGCTTCCTGTTCTTTTTAATATATGTTGAATATGCTCCATATATTTAAGAGAAAATGACAATCAAGTCCCAAAAGATCAATTTTATACCAGTTAAGTCCCAACTAATTCTAAAAGGCCAATCAAGTCCCATGCTGTTTTTTCCCAATCAGAATTACAAAAGAAATGATGAAAATGCCCCTATGAGTAAATATAACATGTACACTCATTAGCTCCAACATTTCCTTCCCGATTTATCTCTCTCCCGTCATTGATGAGAGCTACATGGAAGTGGTGGAGCTGTACGTTAAAGAATACCCATTCTTGAAATAGAGTTATGCTTGGAAGAGGTGAGTTGCCTTAATTATTGACTCAAGGAAGCTTAAGGAGTTGTGCTGGTACGTGCAGACAGTTTTTTTTTTTTTGCAAATTCTTGCATCTAAATAAAAAGGTTTACTCCATGAAGGTTTGATTTCTTACAAAATGGCTTTCATAAGGAAAAAGATGGAATGGTTTTCTGCAACTGAACATGAAAGATTTTTTTTTATTTTATGTTTCTAAATATTTGGCATGAAGATTCGACATTTTGCAACTGAAAGTGTAAGAAATTACTATCAAGTGTCCATATTTTAAGATGGAACGCTGTCACTGTTTAACTGATGCGAAAATCACTTATGTCAAAAGTAACTTGTTTCTAAGTGATATATTATTACATTTTATTTTGTTTCTTGTAGGTTGATATTATTGGGTACGATGGAAAGTAGTTGTTTAAAGAAAATTTTTTGTTATTTTCATTTTAGTGGAGATATTGTAAAAGATATGCATAGGATAATGCATTATGATGGGGGGAGTTGTAATGGAAGAATGATTAGAGAAGGAATGTCTCTTGAAGGACTTGTTAGATTAATTTCATCATACTTGAATTGTGATTTAAATGGAATAAAGTTGAAGTACACAGTCAAGTTTGATTGCAATGCTCTTTTAGACCTTAAAGATGATGAAGGGATAAATCAATTAATGAAATTGAATGATAACTTTGCTCATGTGTACATCATTGGGAAGATATAGCAAAGTACAGAGGCAATAAGAGATTCAATTGATGGGTAAGTTTTTTTAATAGTTGCATAATTAATATTATGTTAATATGAATATGGATGGTAGTAATAAACATGATTTGAATGAAAATGCAGAGCAGAATGTTCAGTTGAGAATTCACATGCTACACAAGATCTTGAAGTTCTACCATGTGCAATACAAAGTATCCCAACACTAATACCTAAGCTGAATGCAACAAAGTGGAAAGATTTACTAGTAGGACCTGAGTAGATTTTTGCGAGTGCTGATGATTGTAGACAAGCAATCTACAAGTATAATGTTACACTATGCATGTTATCTTCGTAGTTCATAGGAGAAAATATACAATGACACTATGCATCATATTGAGACTCATGAGATGTCAAAGCCAAATGCATTGACAGTATCTAAGCTCATAAGCCAAACCTTTTTGCTACCTCCTAGAATATCTCGATCAGCTAGCAGACCTCGTCATGTGAGGATTGAGTCTCAATATCAGCAGAAGAAGGTTTATCATTGTTCTCATTATCATGAAGCAGACCGTACACGGAAGAGGTGTATAAATCTAAATCCAAGTTGATGTTATTGTAAATGAGTTACCACATGAACTTAGATTTAGGTGATATACATATATGGGTAGTTTTAGATCAAGTTAGATTTGGTTAACATATATAGGTTTTTATACATATATATTGGTAGTATTGGGGTTTTTTGATACATAGTAACCTCTCTTTTATAAATTCAAGTTCATGCTTTTGTGTATATGGACAACTGATATGTGCAGATGCATTAGATGAATTAATACATGCAACTTATATGTACAGTTCATATCTTTTGTAATCATTAAAAGTGTGTTGTTTTAAAATTTCGAACAGAGGTTGCAAATTATTTGTAAGGCAGTTGCAAAATTTGGTATGTCAATTGCAGATTACTGGAGCCATGTCCTAAAATAATTTGGTAGCTTTGCAAGTTTAAGAATTCAAAAGTTATTCCATCTAAAATTTTGAGAATGAGTTGCAAATTATTCGTAAGGAAGTTGCAATATTTAGTATGTTAGTTGGAAATTACTGGAGTCATATCCTAAAATAATTTGGTAGCTTTGCAAGTTCAAGAATTTAAAAGCTATTCCACCCAAAATTTTGAGAATGAGTTGCAAATTATTCATAAGGAAGTTGCAAAATTTAGTATATTAGTTGCAAATTACTGGAGCCATATCCTAAAATAATTTGGTAGCTTTGTAAATTCAAGAATTCAAAGTTATTCCACTCAAAATTTCGAGAAGGAGTTGCAAATTATTCATAATAAAGTTGCAAAATTTGGTATGTCAGTTGCAAATTACTGGAGCGTTATCCTAAAATAATTTGATAGCTTTGTAAGTTCAAGAATTCAAAAGTTATTCCACCTAAAATTTTGAGAAGGAGTTGCAATTTATTTGTAATGAAGTTGCAAAATCTGGTATGTCAGTTGCAAATTATTGGAGCCATATCCTAAAATAATTTAGTAGCTTTGCAAGTTCAAGAATTGAATAGTTCTTCCACCCAAAATTTTGAGAAGGAGGTGCAAATTATTTGTAAGAAAGTTGTAAAAGCTGGTGTCTCAATTGCAAATTACTGGAGCATTATCCTACAATATTAACTTTAAGAATTCAATAGTTCTTCCACCCAAAATTTTGAAAAGAAGTTGCAAATTATTCATAAGACAGTTGCAAAATCTGGTGTCTGAATTACAAATTACTGGAACGTTGTCCTAGAATAATAACTTTTTTAAAAATTCAATGGTTCTTCCATCCAAAATTTTGACAAGCAGTGGCAAATTTGTCTCGAGCTAGTTGCAAAACTAGGTATCTAAGTTGCTTGACAACTTGATTGATTGGGTATAATGTATAACTTAAACATTATAAATACATTTCAATATTAAAAGTTGGAAATAAAATTGTGAAAATAAATGACAGAGTTACAAAGTTGCAAACTTGATTAATTGGGTACAATGTATAACTTCAAACTTAAAATTCATTTGAGCATGTCATCACTTTTACAAACTACATAGTCCCCTTCAGCTAAGACACTCAGGAAAAAAATTGAAGAAAAAGCAATTTCTGCATAATTGAAATGGTAAATGTTGATGAGGATCAGACTCTTCAGCTAGGCAAATGCATCACACCCATCAAAGATTAATGACCACAACAGATTACAGATTAATGACTTAAGCAACTGATCACTTAGGGCAGAGAAGGGATGTTAAAGAAGACTAGAATAGAGATGATAGACAGCTTTATTGGACAGCTCAGGGAAGAGATGACAGAAAGCTTTACTCGCTTGCAATGAGACAGGGAAGAGACGATGAACAGGGCAGGGAAAGAAGAGACGAGGAACAGGGCAGGGAAAGAAGAGACGAGGAACAGGGCAGGGAAGAGTAGAGAAGGAGAAACCTCACATTTTCATCAGCCAAATAAGGGTATTTCGGTCATTTCTCATTATATTAAAATGCCACTCAAGGAACTAGGGACTGGCCTTTCAGAATATTTTGGGACTTATCTTGAATAAAATTGGTCCTTTGGGATCTAATTGTCATTTTCCCTATATTTAAAGGCAATTTCATAAATATATATATTTAGCCAGGTAAATATGGACTATGGGGACGGACCTTGCCTCATCTTTTTATCTATTTTTTTTTATTTTAAATTTTTAAATATTAGCAGCATGACCTATACAGCTCTGAGTCCCAGAATCGCCGTCGAAGCAGAAGAGACACGCCCCTTTCAATCCGTTTGCTGCTTCGCCCCCTCTTTCTGGTGCCGACGCTATCCCTTGTCCGGCTAGAAAAACCGTCATTCTCCTCGTTCATTTTGTCTTCCTGTTTACCGATCTACTGGGAATTTGTAATCATCTGCCGGTTTCATCTTTTTTGAAATTCTGTGCAGGCTAACGGTTTCTTTCCGTGTATTTTCTTCCAATCTTGGGAAACCTCTTCAACATCTCATGATTTGGGCTTTTTTTGTCTTATTTTATGTGATGTCTTTGAATATTACGCCAATCTACAATTTATGTTGTTCGTTAGAAAGTGAGGCATAAATCCTGACTTCCAACTGTTTGAATATGCGGGTTACTGGTGGGTCTGATTGAGGGAGTTGAATTGAACAACAAGTATTGAAGGTTTTCATCATTGATTTGGTTTTGGTCGCCTATTTTTGGTTTTTTCTTACTAGATTCTTCATTCTGTTCAAACTTGGTTTTATGGCTGATCGAAGTTCGGCGGTTGCCAAGCCAGTTTGGATGAAGCAAGCAGAGGAGGCGAAGCTGAAGAGTGAAGCTGAGAAGGCTGCGGCAGCAAAAGCTGCTTTTGAAGCCACGTTCAAAGGGGTTGATAAGAATCGCGAAAGGGATACTGTTCCATCGGACAGTGAATCCGAGGAATCGGAGGACTTGGCTAATAAGCCAATTGGTCCCGTGGATCCTGCAAAGTGCACGGCAGCCGGTACAGGGATTGCGGGGGGGACAGCTTGTGCTCCATCGTCATTTATGGTGGTGACCAAGGACGCTGATGGGAGGAAAATTTCCGCGGGGGGTGCCCAGGTCAAGGTCAAGGTCTCCCCGGGATTGGGTGTTGGAGGATCGGAACAAGAGGGGATTGTCAAGGATATGGGTGATGGAACGTATACAGTTACTTATGTTGTGCCCAAACGAGGGAACTATATGGTCAGTGTTGAGTGTAATGGCAAGCCAATTTTGGGTAGTCCATTCCCTGTGTTTTTCAGTGCAGGTATCCCTGATTTCTCCTCCACCCTCATTTCCCTATATCAATTTGTGTACACTTTTGGTTTGATTATTGCTGTTTAGCAGGTTCACCACTTAGCATGCTTTCGACTTGTATATATGTGGATAGAATTTGGGAGGGCATTCAAAGAGATAATGATGATACACGCTTTCTACTTTTGTATATGTGGATAAATTTGGGAGGGCGCTCAAAGAGATAATGATGATAAGGATTAGAACGGTCCAAATAAAAATGAATGACTCTATATGCGTTCTCGGAAATTGTATAGAATTTGAGGCCATGCTGTTTATATTATAACTTATGAATAATGTGGCTTGCTATAGATTTTATATTTTGTATTGATGTAAGATATATTTTGCATATAGATATGGGAAAATGTCCTTAGATATGGCCAAGTATTGCTTTACCCTGCTACTTTAATCATACTTGAACTGGGTCTCTATCTGTGCAAAGCACCTCAAATTCCTCATCCTTTTCTTTTGGATATAAGAAGATTCATTGATGCACAAATTTTCTCATTAGGTTCATAGCATTTTCACACTTGCTAATTTTTTGGACTTTAATTTGTTTCTTTGCAGGTAATAATAATGGGGGACTTCTGGGTTTAGCTCCTGCATCCAATTTTCCCAATCTGGTCAACCAAACCATGCCCAACATGCCAAATTACTCTGGATCTGTTTCAGGTGCATTTCCAGGGTTATTAGGAATGATTCCGGGTGTTGTTGCTGGGGCTTCTGGAGGAGCTATTTTGCCTGGAATAGGGGCATCACTGGGGGAAGTTTGTCGAGAATATCTCAATGGACAATGTGCAAAAATTGATTGTAAATTGAATCATCCCCCTCATAATTTGCTCATGACTGCCTTAGCTGCAACAACCTCCATGGGAACACTCAGCCAAGCGCCTATGGCACCTTCTGCTGCTGCAATGGCTGCTGCTCAGGCCATAGTTGCCGCTCAAGCCCTCCAAGCCCATGCAGCTCAGGTTCAAGCTCAGTCAGTAAAAGATTCTGCTGGTATGCTATATTTATATTGTTTCCTGTAGTATTCTATCTCCTCTGTTCCTTATTCTCTCTCCTGCCTCTCTCTCTTTCCTTTTTTCTATTGTCTTTCTGTATCATTTTTTTTTCTGTTATTTTTTTAATTAATGATCAAAGATACACTTTTATTTAGGCTCACCTGACAAGGCTGGAAAGGCTGAAACATTAAAGAAAACTCTTCAAGTTAGCAATCTTAGTCCGCTTCTTACAGTGGATCAGCTGAAACAACTCTTTGGCTTCTGTGGTACTGTTGTAGAATGTACAATCACTGATTCGAAGCATTTTGCCTATATAGAATATTCAAAACCTGAAGAAGCAACTGCAGCTCTGGCATTGAATAACATAGATGTTGGGGGGCGCCCTTTGAATGTTGAGATGGCAAAAGCACTTCCTCAGAAGCCATCTCTATCGAATTCTTCACTGTCCTCATCTTCTCTTCCTTTGATGATGCAGCAAGCTGTTGCTATGCAACAGATGCAGTTCCAGCAAGCATTGCTCATGCAACAAACTATAACCGCACAGCAAGCTGCTAACCGAGCTGCAACTATGAAATCTGCCACAGAGTTAGCAGCAGCCCGGGCTGCAGAAATAAGCAAGAAATTGAAAGCTGATGGGCATGAGACTGAAGAGAAAGATACAGACAAGAAATCTAGGTCTGATAACCCTGCCAATCTTTTCAAAAGGAGTATATTTTGCTGTTACTTTATCTAGTTTCTTGCAGTTTTCTATAATGTTGCAAGCTGTTCACGTTCTTAACATTTTGTGCTCTGCATGATTTAGCCATGTACTGCTTGAAATTTATAAGCTCGAGAAGCTACAGATTGAGCAAACCAGTTTATGCTGCTCATTATAAATGCTCTGCCATGAATCCGATCTAGTCATATCTGTTGTATTTTCTCCCCCCCTCACTAATCTATTTTTTAATTAATTATTCCTTTTCTTGATGGCAACCAGTTATTTCAATATCCATTTGAATTTGCCCCTTATAATTATGATTAAGTAGAGCCTGGCTTATATCAGTGTTTCAATACTTGAGGTACAGTAGCACAACATTAATGTACTTTCTGGTTGAGATTGTTTTGTCAAAAGGTGCTTTTTTTGTGTGTGTGTTTACAGTAGCGTGCCGTTTCTGTGCTATGGATATTTTTGGATATTTTTTATTAATTATTGCTCACAACTCTTTCCCAAATTTCCCATCTAAATCTGTGTAAAATGCAATTTTCATAATTAGGTCACCTTCCTCTTCTCGTGGTAGATCCCGATCAAAGTCTAGATCTCCTGTCAATCATCAAAGAAGGAGGAAATCTCGTTCTTACTCACCCCGCTATTCAAAGGATCATAGGTCTAGGTCACCATTGAGATCTCGTCATTATTCAGTTTATGAAAGGGAACGGAGGTTTTACAGAGACAAATGGGAAAACAGTGATAGGTATAGAAGGCGGGATTCAGATAGATCACATGATCATCATTCATCTATTTCGAGAAGAAATAGGAGCAGGAGCGTGAGTCCTCGTACAAGGAAATCCTATCAAGTTGATTCTGTTTCTCCTAAACGCAGAGAAAGTTCACCACATAGGGGAAGGAAGTCATCACGTGCTAGTTCTGGCTCTCCACGTCATCACAGAGGAAGTAGGTCATCTCCAAGGAAGTCATCACGTGGTAGTTCTGGCTCTCCAAGTCATCACAAAGGAAGTAAGTCATCTCAAGTTGATGATGAGAGCAAACTAAGAATGAGAAGACGCTCCAGGTCAAGGTCTACTGAGGATAAGCATCGCTATAGTGATAAAACAGATGGAAAATCTAAGCATAGAGAGAGGAGGCAATCAGTGGAAGCAGAGCCTCATAGAAGAAGCCGGCCATTCCCCAGAAAGGGGGATGAAATTAGATCCAGGTGCAAAAGGCGGTCCCAGTCAAAATCTTTGGACAGTGATTACCATTCTCCTGAGAAGGTGGATGAACGCAGAAATAGAAAATCAAGGCACCATGGAAAAAGGCGCTCTAGATCGAGATCCATGGAAAATGAGAGTCCAACTGATGAAAGAGAGAATGAGAGCAGAAAACATCGTGATAATATAAAGTCTAGGTCAAAATCTGTTGAAAGAAAACAACACTATAAAGATAGATCAGGTGAAATCAAAGATAAGAAATCAAAGCATCGAGATAGAAGGCGTTCAAGGTCAATATCAGTAGATCGTAAGCATGAAAAAGGAGGCTCATCCCATGGAAATTTTGATGAGGGCAGTTCTGAACACACAAAATACTACAAATCAAATTCACCTGAGGGATTGCATTGCTCCGAGGGAACAGGAGATGAAAATTTGGAGCAGCCAGCAGAATCTCTGTCTAAATCAGTCTCAGAAAATTTTCAGCAATGCGATGGGAGTCAGTTATCCCCAGGGAGTCTCAAGGAGTATGAATTGAAAGACACTAACCTATCTGGTTGTGGATCTGGGGAAGGTAAGCATCATTTGAGTGATCAGGAGAATGAACATAGTGATGAAAATTCAAAACTTCATGGAGATATCATGCAGGAAGTGATTATAGACGTGAAGAATTCAACAAACATGAGTGATGATCAGATGCTGGTTTCATCAAATCAAAGCTGCAGCTTAACAGTGCCAACTGAAAATGCGGGAGCAGAAAATAACCTAGGTATGAGATGTCCTGTCAATTGTTGATGTTACTTGTGTATTGCAAGATCTGAGAATCATACATGTTGCAGGGGATCTAAGTGGAAAGGGAATGGGAACTGAATAACATTATGAATACTAAGCTTTGCGCACCAGGTAAGGAAGATAAATATAGAAAAAAAAAATTGATTATGCTTGTATGACTATTAAAGCTCAGTTACTTTTTGTGGCTTTCAGGAGTGGGGCCTCTAAATGTTTTTGAAGATTCAACTTAGGTTTTGACAAGGAATAACCATGACAAACTATCTGTATTATTGTATTTGTGATTCAGAAGTACTGGGAGATAAAAGTAATTTAGTTTCTATTGAGGAGGAGAGCTGTGTCAACCTTGGTGGCTATGATTTCTGATCGACAGAGTATAATTCTTGATAGAGCGTGGCATGGATTATGATTGTCTATGGATGAGGATTTCTGCATGCAGCAATAGTCATGGCTGCTGATGATCCTGCATTTTAATTTAGGGAGCTCAAGTATCATGAATAAGTTTTTTCCAGGGATCGAACTGTTACTTCTTGGGACAAGCTCATATCACATGGGAAATGCTTCCACTGTTTGCTTTGGCCCTGGGAATATTATTTGCTGGTTTTTATGGATGTCTTTGTCTATTTCTTTTTTGCAGGTGGTTTTGGGACAGATCAGGGATAAAATTCCTTAACCAGTTGATCTGGTTTAAGGTTTCAAGAAGTGTCCCACTTTTGCAATGTCTGGTGATCAACCATGCAGCCTTATAGCATGCTTGTTTTACTGCTTGGTTGATGCATGTTTGAATGTTACTTTATTAAATATACTTGTCTCGTTTTTATTTAATGTAAGTTCATATTACAATGTTAGGATCTTGACATGTATTTATTGATTTTAGAATGTGATGAAATCTGAAATTTTCTAGCTGATGCTGTTCAGTAACTATATTAGAGAGCAAGAAAACCCTTTTAACTAGTAATTCTCGTTTGACTTACCCAAAGCTTTGTGGGCCGATATTGGCTTATTGCTATAATGTGTAAAGGTGAACCTTGTACATACGCTACCTTGTCCACTTTATTGTTGGTCTTGGTAGTCTAGTTCTAGATTATATGCCCTTTTGGGAATTTACTTGTTATATGATGCAAGAGTCCTTTAATATTGGCAACCATAGGATCCCTTTCATTTACTCCAAACAAATGCAGGTCATATTCAAGTGAATTCAGTTGGAGCCTTTTGAGATACAGTTTGGCTGGGTTGATTTTCTCTTGTGTAAATGAAGGTATGATAGATTCTGATGCTCTTGGCTTGGAGCATATCTCTCCTTTTTCCCCACTTTTTCTGTCAAGCGTTGAAAGTAGTTGGAGTTCTGAATCTACGTAGTCTGCATTAAGTACTGTTACTCAGTATTGTTTGCCAATGCTTTTACCATCATCTGGTTCCTTATGTTGCCCTGCATCTGTTTCTTTTTCTTTCTTTTCTTTTTCCCCTCCATTTTTTCTTTCCTTTTTCTTTCCTTTTTTTTTTCTTTCTTCCCAAGAAATTGTCATAATAGGTAAAGCTATCATACAAGGTCAAGTGAAACCAGATGTTGCTGCAATGAGTTACATCATGTTGCATGTGAGCAAATTGGCTGTTACACATTACTTAAGTAAATGGTGAAATGGGAATGTTGATTTTGACAGGTAATTCTCCATGAAACTATTTAGGTTTGAGTTCTAGTAGTTGTGTAGGAACCTATTCAATCCCAATTACCAATAACATCTGTATTCAAACATTCCTTCATTAACTTGATCTTGTCAGCTTATTAAATATTACGTAATTAATTAATTATTGATGATGTTTCATTCAAATTAATGATTGCTTGTTTTATACATAATTTTTAGTTTTGGTTGCATATTGGTGGAATCAGATGGCATCACCTTAATGATTCCATCACCTTATTGCCTTATTGCTGAGTGAAGCTGGAAAACAAACGTACCTGGCCCCCCCTTCCTTTTATCACAAATGAGATTAAAAAAAAAAAGCAAAGAAAAAAGAAAAACAAATCAGGACATCTGTAATTTCCCCCTTGCATCTTTTCTCCATTGGCTCCGCTCCCTTTTCTTGTTTTTCCTGTTTTGGTTAGGATAAGCTGTGGATATGAATGATCTTAAGAGCAGCTCCAATGAATCTTATCTTCAGGCGATTGTGTGAAATTTGATCTTTGCAGGTCTAATTGTTTGTTTTTCTGGAATGCTCTTGTCTGTCTAATAACCAGTTATTTTTTGTCACTAAGAAGTGACAGCCTCTGCTGATTGTATGCCTCCTTAGGTGGCAATCAGGTTAAGCATTATCAATTAATAAGATTTTGTTCTCAACCTGCACAGTTCTTTAAAAGAACAGAGTTTTGCTTTAAAGTGATTGAAGGCTGGAAACGGGCAGCATGAATAAATGACTTTTCTAGTATATTAGTCCCACATCATGCGTTCAACTTTTTGATGCACTGCACTCAATGCTCGCGCGGGGCTGCTAGAGGATGCAGTTTGGTGTAATGAATTCGTAGGGAAGAACGTTTGGAGGAAGTGCGAAAATTGCATATTTGAGAGTTAGTTCACATATCTAAGAACGTTTTGGAGATTCGTCAATGTTGGCCTCGGAAATCGTTTAGCTTTTAATAGGAGTGTTCATGGGATGGGTCTTGTGTCCCATTTGGGGAAATGATTGGGATTGAATTTTTGCTTTGTATCTTGTCCCATCTTGAAAGTCGTCTCATTTTGTTAAAAATTAGGATGGGATCAGGATAAGAGTGGAATGTCTTCCTTTACTAAAGAAGCAAACAATATGAGAGAAAGTCCTAGATAACAATATTCATTAAAATTTTAGATTATATATAATAATTTAAAGTCAATTATTAAATTATATTAATCGTGAATAATTTAAAGTCAAGTATATATGAGATATAATATATTATGATAGTCATTAGATTATGAGAGTAATAACAAACTGGTTAGGTACAATATTAATTCATTGTTTTTCTTTTTTAGTTGAAATATGCAATGTTATGAGAACTGAATTAGCTATTAAACCAGTCGAGGTATTAGTTCATGATTCAAAGATCGAACTAGGGTTAGATTGGGGTTAGATCATTTATAATTAAATTAATATATTTTAAATATTACATATTAAAAATTATCGTTAAACTAATAAATTCAAAAAAATTGAAAATTTGCAGGACGAGTGTTAATGTGTGTTTATGTGTATATTATACACACATCTTGGTCAAATTATTCTAATGTTTTTTCAAAATCAACACAGGTAGCACAAAAAAATAAAATCCAAAAAAAGGAAAAAAGTGAATGTGATAAAAAGGAACATAATAATTAAATTAATCAGGGAGAATTTTTATCCATTTGTAAACGATAAAACTTGCCAACTCTCACCTTGTTTCCTTCTTATTATTAAATATTTCTTGCATTTCTTGTCAGGGTAGAGGAAGAAGTTGACGGTCAAGTGGAACACGGTTGGAGCTTGGAAGACTGTCATGAACATGAGTAGTCAAGCACAACTGTGAGTCTAAAAGTGCGATGACGTCGATGAGAAACAAAGGCGTGCGATTAGATTGAGGAAAATGATCGATGGTCAAACTCGAGCAAGAAGAGGTTTAGGGTTCTGATTTAATCGGAAGTTTTAGTTTTAGTATTCAAGATTTGTGCGTTTCCCTTTTGCATCTTGGTCTCCTAATGTTTTAAAAAAGAGAGGTAAAAATGATGTCATTTTGTGATATTAGGGGAGGGAAGAGAGAACTAGTTCTATTCAGTTCACCTTCAGTTTAAGCAGTTCACTAACGGTTCTCTTTCCCACTCGATTTTGTGTCACTTTCAAACTGGTTACCTGGCTGGTTCTCGATTAAATTAGTCAAACTGGCTGGTCCAATTCGGTTTTGATAACAATAAAAATATGTTAAACTAGTGATTTTTTCAGCAATAAAGCAAGAAAAATGATAAAAAAAATATTAAATAGATAAATATAAAAATAAATTGTATTAATATAATTAATATAAAAAAATTTCAATTTTAAATAGGAATTGTTTGAAATTATAACTAACATAGGTATAAATTATAGTAATATAATTAATATATTAAATGCACATTTTTTTAATATATATATATATATATATGTATATATATAATATTAAGGATGAGGGGAGATGTTTTGAAGGCAATCTCATATCTTAATTTTTTTAGGTTGGGAAAGGCTTGTCATGATAAGATCATAATGAACCCAAGCCGATTGAGATGAGTATAACGTTGAATACTCTTACTTTTACTTTTTCAAAATGCACCTTACAATCCCAGAGTCTCTTGTTAATTATGCTTTCTCCAATGCTGACTCTATCCTCTATGTCAAAGTCTATGATCTTTGCAATAATGTTAAAGGATGGAATTTTGATCTCTTAAGCCATTACCTTCATTCTGATGTGCTAAAGCAAATTTTAATTGTTCAACCTCCTAATCAACATAATGAAGACGATGTTTCTTTTTAGAGACCCTCTTCTAATGGCAACTTTTTTGTCAAATCTACTTACAGAGCTTTGGATACTCATAAGGACTAAAATTACTCAGATATTTGATTTAAGATTTAGAAGTGGCTTGCTTATGAAAAAAATAAAATATTTCCTTTGGAAGACTGCTTGGAATCGCAATCAAAACAACTACTCTCATTCTATTGGGAATTCTCTGCAACAACGTTCCTATCCTTTTGGTTATAACTCTTTTGACTCTACTATTCATATCCTAGGAGATTGTAAATAAGCTAAACAGGTTTGGAAAAAATTGGTAAATCCTACAAAACTTTACACATTCTTTTCTCTTAGATTGTAGGGCTAGATAAGATGGAATGCAAAGAATGAAGCAAGGAGCTTGAAAACAAGAAAAACACATTGGCGGAGTCTCTTTGCCCAAGCCTGCTGGAATATTTGGAAAACAAGATGCAAGAAGCTCTACTTTAAAGATGAGATTCGGGATAGTGATGTTGCCTTCTTCAGCAATCAACAAATCAACAATGACACGAAGCTTCTATCCAAAATCAATTACTTGAATAAAAGAAGCACTAGTTATAATATTAATGGAAAATCACTTGAATTCAGATAGGTTAGGCTAGACACTGATGGTGTTGTTAACATTAATGGTGATGTTGCTCGTGGAGGCATTATCAAAAATGATAAAGTAGATTAGATCAAAGGTTTTTCCAAGTATCTTGGCTTTTAACATAGCACAGTTGCTGGGCTTATAAAAATTTACAAAGGCTTATCCTCTGTTGGAATGAAAAATTATACAAAGTTAATGTTCATTTGGACTCAATGGAAGCTATTTCTCTTATTAATTACAACTACTCTGGAAGTCATCCTTTCTCTGACATTATCACAAAAATTAGAGATCTCACAATGAGAAATTGGTTGGTCACGTTTGATCATATTTATAGAGATACAAATTGATGTACTGATTGTTTAGCTCATCAAATATCTCATGATAATTTCGATACTACAATCTTTGATGTCCCTTCGTATATTTATAGAACCCTCTTAGCTTTAGACATGATTAGATCTTAGTTTTTTTTGTACAATTTGTCGTGGCCATGTATTAAAAACCTTACGATTATTGAGGCATGTGATTTGAGTGTAGTCAATTAATCATGGCAGTGTTCAAAGTCTTAGTCTGACTCCTGGTAGTTTAGTGTGTGGTTTAGTACAAAATCAAACTTGACGTGGTAGGATCCGAACTCAACACCCACCCCCTCTTTTTTTTTTTAAATCATATTCAAGTTTCCCTCTTAGGACAAACAACATAATCTATTCAACTGAAAGTAAGAATTGATGTATGCGATACGGCAAGACTTGTTAGATTTAGGATAATTTGTAAACGTTTTATCAGGTTACTCAATAAAATCAGTTTTTATATCTATGTCGATATTCTCTGGTAAATCATATGGCCTTACGACTTGACAATAACAAATTGGGAGAATGACAATTAAGAACCTACTAAGAATATTAATCTCAATTACAGACCGTGAAATTTTGAAATCTCAGTTAAGGATCATGGTCCTGAATTGTGATTAAAAAAATATAATTTGTAAGGTGAGATTCATTATTGTCACTTGGGAATTCACTAACCTAACTTGAGAAAACTTGTAACGTATATTGTGAAAACATGAAACCTCTCTTGAAAATTAAATGTTTAACAAAAAGTGCCACACACTAACTCGATTTGAAAATTTTTTTAATGTATATTGTGAAAACATGAAACTTTACTTGAGAATCGATTGTTTAATAAAAAAATAGCAATTTGAATAAGTCACTTTTTATTAATGATTCTCAAGTGGGGTTTCATTTTTTCACAATATACGTTAGAAATTTTTTTAAGTCTAGTTAGTGAATTCTGAAGTGGCGCTTTTTGTTAAACATTCCATTTCTAAGTAAGGTTTCATGTTTTCACAATATACATTAGTAATTTTCTCAAGTTGGGTTAGTGAATTCTCAAGTCGCATGAGTAAATCCTACCTCACAAATTACATTTTTTTATCACAATTAAGGACCATGGTCTTTAACTCTGATTTTAAAATTTCACGGTCCATAATTGGGATTAATGTTCTTAGTAGGTCCTTCCTTGTCATCCTCCCTAACAAATTGGAATAATTTAACTGAAAGCAAGAGAATTGATGTATGCTATGAGACTACTCAATAACGACGTTACACGTGAAATTGAGAAAATGTAATTGTCAAGTTGCAGCGGCCATATAATTTACCAGAGAATTTTGATATAGATATAAAACCTGACGTTCGTGGTGTTCTATTTTATATGACTTGATATGGAAGGCAATAAAATTAAACTCACAGTGATGTTGCACAATCGGAGAGTATGACATGTTGATGTGGGCAAATTATGGCAGCCCAACGTCGATGACAATGATGGCACCGGTGAAGTTGAGGATAAGGATGAGGAATTGGGGATGAAGCTAATAATAACGGACCGTCGTGAGCGGTGAGCCCAGTAAATGCTAGTGGCCAACTTGGATGTCTCTTCCCAATTTTTTTTTTTTTTTAAAAAATCCTAATTCTTTAGATGGTGAAAACAATAACAACCGTATTTATATTGCGTTAATGCAAAAAATAGGCCTAAATATAGTTATTTCTGCTTCTGTAAATTCACAACTTAATATGGATCGGTTGGAAATTAAAAGAAGAATATAATATGATGACAGGAGGAAAGAAAAGGGCTAAATTGGTGTAGTGTGTCAATGCCAAGCACTAACCGCGTGGATAAGCACTGGGCGTTGTCCTAGAAATGAGAATGTACCAATTGCTAAGTCAAACTATTAAAGCTCTGTTTGGTATATGAAGGACTAGGAGAATGGGACTAGTTTTGAGATTGAGTAATCTCATCTTTTTATGCTTTATGTTTGGTATAAAAGACTCAATATTTCAATATTAATGCCAATGCTACCTTATATGAGATTACCTCGGTATTGCAAAATTAGTCTAGGGATTGATTTTTCTATGATCAAAATACCCTTTCAACCTCTACCTCCCTCCTTCCCACGCACCGAGATGAATCCCACTTTGTCCAGATCTTGGTGCTAGGATTGTAGAACCCATGCTTCGGCCAAAGGTTCTTCTTGTCCAAATCAGCCGGAATGACGTCGATGATTTGCAGAAGCAAGCTCCGATGCTCACACATGGGATTAACTTTCGTTTTCAACCCATTGAGAAGCTTCCGAAGATGCGACGCAAATCGTCTCCCTTCCTCCACTTCTTCATCTCGTCGAAAGTCGTTCGTGCCGCCGCCTCCTTCGCAAGTCATCTCCCTCCCTCCAGATCCCATCTCCATCATTTTTGCATCTCCTCCCTTCTCCCTCCATCTACCTCCCTCTAGATCGCATTTGTTTTGAGATTGATGGCGTCCAGATCTGGTTCATGAGTTTGATGACATTCCAAATCTGGTTCTCAGGTCGAGTTTCAATAGCCTTCTAGCTTAAGTTTGAGATATGTCAAGATCTAGTTCATGGACTTTATCGGGTTCGTGACTCTGATTTTTTTTTTTTTCTTTTTGGTTAACGATAAGGGCCATAATAATTTTCTGATGATTTCTTATTGATTATAAAATAAAGTTATTAATAGTATTTCATTTAAACATTACTCCATTCTAAACGTATTTTGAAGGTCCCAATTTCAGTCTTAATTTCAATCCATTGAAACCAAACAGCCTAAATGTTTTCGGCCACTGCGTCAACTCATCATTGCTTCTTGCGGGCCTCACGGACCGCGTCCTTTGCTTTAACAATGAGATACTCCGATAAAGCAGGCTTTTTGTTTTTGTTACATTTCTCTCAGAAATTAATTTTCCTTCAATAATTTAATTTTGCCGTTTGATACGTTACTCCGATACAATTGTAGTCGACACTCAACAGTGACATTGCTCATGTTACTAGTTCACAATCGTTCCAAGCTCCTTTATTTTATTTTTGAATTTCCCCCATGGTTAAATAATTTAATATTCCCTTCAGCTGTGCCGTGTTTAGATTAATTTGAGTTTAAATTTAAGTCAAATATCTTATTTGGATACTTAAAAATCTATGGAAATCCATTTGTTATTATAGCTCTTTTTATAATTTCAAATTTCATTTATATCTTTAATTATTTGAAATTTTAGCTTGTCCCCTCTTCACATTTTTATTGTTGATGCAACTGTTGGAATTTAATTGATTGATGTTAATCCACATAAAATTTAAAATAATTCCAGCATTAATTCCAACTGTATGCACCCACGTTTTTTGTTTTCTGGTTTCGTTGACGCGTTCCTCCTCATATTCACAGACACATAACTTGGAAAACAAAGTAGTAAGCTTAGAGGCCAGTAATGCAAATTTCATAAGTTGTTGCTGATTTGGTTGTGTATTATTATGACACCATTATTTGTTTGTTCAGGAGAACGGTCATTCGCGAACAGAGGAAGAAAGTCGAATGCTCCCTCTACTTCTCTTTACAGGATAAAGACATGCCATCTTTTTCTTTTCTGTTTATAAGAAATAACATGGGTTTTGTTTTTATCTCCTTTTATATTAAAAAGTTAATATATAATTTAGATCATAAATTATTGGTATAGAGGTGATTTAAATTTTAAATTTTTATTTGATATGTTTTAAATTCTGACCAATTAATATTGATACAATTTCACCCTTATCATTAAATTAAAACAAACATTTATTATTTTTTCTTGCTGTTTCAGGCCTCATAGTTTAACAATAATTATTATAGTAAACACTGTATTTTGTCCGAGCATATTTTACATTTAATAAAAATAATAATAAATTCAAAAAATTGAAACTTTTAATAATATAGATAAAAAAATTAATTAATAGGGTTTAGTTCTATTTTGTTGGTTAGGATTTTATTTTTTAGTTCATTACAACAACTAAAAATATAAAATATAAAAATAAAATTTAATTTTTTTAGAGGATTATTTTTTTAAAAATAATAATATTAATAGAATAAAGAAGATAAATAAGTTTAATCTCTCCTCAGAATCAATTTTTTTTTTTTAAATCTTGCTTAAATCTTAAAAAATCTTTCTCAAATTATCTCAACAATCAGAAAATTATGATAATAAACTTCTTAAAAATTAAATATTTTTAAATTCTTGTAGATCTAATTGTCTTCCTTATATTTATATGTATCTACAAAAAAATAATAATAATAAAAATAATTTAAAACTACAAAAAAAGAGTTAGGGTTGAAAAAAATATATGAACTGAGAACCATCAGCTCAGTCCTTTGTCTAGATGTGCACACACAAGCATTTCAAGAAGAAGCAAAGGCGAAACACAAAAAAAAAAAAAAGAAGAGCAAAAGAGAGAGACGCAGAGAGTAGACAAAAAACACAAAGTAAAGCAGCCGGACGCAGAGCAAGTGATCGAGGTCCATACACAGCACTTAAACATATGAAAATGCAGCAAAAGAAAGGGAAAAAGCAAAAGAGAGAGATGCATGTGATCATGAAGAGCATAACAGAGATGACGATTTGAGACTAAAGCGTGTAGCGAAGCAAAGGAAGCAACCGAAGACTGATCGAATCAAAAGTTTGAAGGTGAAGAAGACACTATTCGACATATTTATTTTTAATGTTCATCAAAGTTTTATTGTGGGATCGCTTCTGGGTTACTACTATATGAACAAGGATGGATTATATACCCTGTTCATATGATTCGATTACCTTGCTATGTGGTGGATAAAATTTAGTCTCGAATTATGTTTTTGATTCTAATTAAGGGTTATTGCATAGTCTAATAGCTAGCAAGTTGTTGAGGAGCTTCCAAGATTTTTATTAAAGGGTTGTCTAGAGTTGCCCAGTAATATATAACCTTGTGTTATTGTGTGCTTGAACATGTAGTCTACAGGAAATCATTTTTTTGGGTTAGGTGTTGTGTATTTAGGTTCTTATTGCAATATATAGTTTGACACTAAACATTAAAATTTTGTTACTTTAGAAACAGATTTGAATAGCTTCTTTTGTTTAGTTTGATAGAATTTTTTTTTAGATCATGATGTAGGCTAATCTTGATGATGGCAAGAATTATATTTGATTGTAAAGACTTAAAGCTATTATAGGTTTGGCCTTGTTTCAAGATCTTGTTTGGGATTGTTGATCTGTTTTGAATTTGAAAACAAAAATATCTAACTTATTTATTCATGAGTAAAACCTAGGCACCATAGCCATATCATTGTGTTTTCTTCCTCTAAGTTATATTGTACATCTTAAATATGCTCTAACATGTGTTTATTTGCTTCCACCAGTGAGGTTGATTTAGTTATAATACTTTTCTATGATGTTTTTGGTTCTAACATTTAGAAAATTATTGTTCAGTTAAGTGATAAGTTAGATTTAAATTTGTCTTTGGGCAATGAAATAATATTAATCAACACAAGTTTAATTATTTCCATAAGTCATGATCACCATTTTGCATATGATTTCCATTTGAGATCAATTGAGTGATTTATTGGAGATTGTTTTGATTTTAAATGTCTGGGTGTTGTTACCAATTTTCTTCCCTTTTATTGTTCTCTTTTTCAAGTACTAATTCATACAACAAGTCGAAATAGGAATACAATATCCAAATAGTTTGGTCCCCTTGCCTTTAGTGGATTTTCATGAACAAATTGTTTCACAAACATATAATCATTTCTATTATAGTTGATAATAATTTAAAATTTTTCATGAGAATTTTTAGAACCTCATTTAACATAATGCCGTGTAAATCAATAAGATTTTTTAGGTATAAAAATCTAACTTGTATATATTAATATGGATTTTAAAGGCCCATCATTAAATTAACTCTTTTTTTATAATCTAAATTAATAAAATATTTAAGTTTCATGTGAGATTTCACAAATCTTCATAGAAAATTAAATTAAGTGCATTATCATGTAGAATAATAAATCCTCGCAGATGATGTGATTATCAATTGGTATATAGTAAATAAATAAATAAATTTAGTAAATAAAATAATAAACATTTTTTAATAAAGTTAATCAATTAAATTAATGTATTTGAATTATAATTACATTTACTGATTAGATCTTTTGGTCATATGAGATTCTTGAAACTCCATAGACCTCTAAAATAATCATCTTACCGTTTAAGTTAATAAGGCTTCACAGTTATAACAATTGAGATTCCTGTATTTAAAAATATGTGTTATATAATTATGCATTAAAATATATTTAATATATATTATTTAATCCTTTATTATGTAAGAATTTTGAATCTCCGTAAATATTTAAGATAATCATATTGTCATAAGGCTTTGTAGGTATGACGATCAACACATATATATACATTCTTTTTTTAAGAAAAATTATTATTATTACTTAAAAATTTAAGTAAAATAAATTAAGTTATTAATCTCTTTTATCGTGTGAGATTTTGAAATTTGTAGCTATTTAGAATAATTGTATTATCGTATAAGCCAATAAGACTCTGCAGGTATAACAATTAAATCTATAAAAATAATAAAATATAAAAAAATAATTTTTAAACTCTTTTCTTTTCTTTATTTAAAAAATTTTAAAATAGAGAAAATAATTAAAATTAAATTACTTTTTTCAATTTAAAACATACATATCAAAATTTTAGAAAATTATTTTATTTGCAAAATAGTAAATTATTTTTAATTAATTTTTCTTCAAAAAAATATTTTCACCAATAATTTATAATCTCAAATTACATGAACTTTGATCCCCGTCAAAAGGTACGTAAGCCTTATAGTCTGATTCTAAGTCAAGTCCTCCCTTGTAAATAACTAAATATTTCTCACTTAATTATTTTAATTTTGTGAACACTGATTTTGAGTTAAGTCCTTCCTTGTAAATAAATAAATATTTTTTATTTAATTATTATCATTTTTAAACATATGAATAAGAAATGGATAATTAAAAAAACTTTGAAACCATATTAATTTATCATGGTAAACTTTAGGTAACGTTCTTACCAACAGGTGTCGTGGGATGCCTAACACCTGTTGGATATTATAAATATTTTCTAGTATTTCAAAAAGAATTATTATAAATTAATAATATTAATTATTATTTAAGTCTATTTATTATTTTATAACATATAATTTAAACAACATTATTATTTGAAACCATTTTTTAATTATGATTAAGGTGGTTTTATTGCCCAGCATTATGAGATCTGCCTATAAAAGGCAATGCTTGCCACAAGTTCAGAGAGACCCTTGGTACTCTCGACCTTTCTCTCCTCTTCTATCATACTGATTCATTGTGTAGCTACCTGAGTATATTTTGTGAATTTCTATTGTTTTGCGTCCCTACTTTAGTAAGAAGAGTCTGTTTAATCCTGAAGAGTTGCCGCGCGATCAATCCAATGTAGCGGAATAGCTCTTAAGGATAGTGTTCTTGGGCATGACTCAGACTATATTTTACCTATTATTGACAACAATCTTAAGAGCTAGCTCCATCATGCTAGTCTTATTTAGTTGTACTAAGTTTGATGGGTTTAGATCTTGTGGAGGTGTACAGTGAGTGAGTGAGTTTTAATTATGTTTATGAGTATAATTGGGTATAGGAGCACATGCACATCATTTTAGGTGTAAGGTCCCAGGACAATACTAGTGGAAGAATTACTCACGTTGATAGCTGGGCACACTATCTGGTGTGGAGATTCAACTTGATGGTAGCCAATGAAAGAAATACGTGGATCTATTGTTGTTGAACTAGTTGCCTAGAGATTATTTCAGCTGTCTTGGTTTTTTGCCTCATTAGTTCGTAGGTATTCCGAGAGTACTCAAATTATGTGGTTTGGTCTCTTTATTATTTGCTTCATCAGGTGAAACTGCAAAACTCACAACTCTGCATATCATACAACGTAAATGTGCATTGATTGAGGAATAACTTATTATTTAATCACATTAAGATATCTTCAATGCACGGTTACAAATGAAGGTCTTTAATATGCATATTTTGGAAATTATTTTCCTAGTTAGATCATCAGTGGCTTACGATTCACCGTTCCTAACGTGAGATATTATTGATTTTTATAAATAATTAATGCCATTAAAGGGGTTGAATTATTTTGAGAGCAAATGTTGATTTGTGATCTATTTTATGATTATGAGTGTCATAATCATGATTAGTCACAATTGAATATATGCTCTTGAAGAAAATATAGAACCCATATATGCTTTGGATTTTCCTTCTTGGGTTGGTTGATATTTAATTTGCAGGGTTGCTAAGCTTAATTAATTGTTGATTGCTTATTATATAAATTCAAGTGAAATCCGATTCATGCTTTTCTTGTTTTTTTTGGATGAAATTGTTGTTAATTGAATAGACTTGTGAGTCTATATTTTTAATGCTGTAATTGGCTTCTCAAACTACCATTGAAAAGATGATATATATTCTAGTGAAGTTCTGGAATTATTAGCTTGAATATGTGATACACACACGTATGGTGTTTCATGATTTTATTTGGTGATATTATTAGAGACATGATACAAGAAGGCTTTTGCTAATTTGTCCATAATGTGGGAGTGTGTGTGGGAGTTAATATGTTTATGGTGGATTTAAAAATTATGAGAAATTATAATTTAATTGGAATGGGAGGAGATTATAAGTGTAATATTCTAATTTAATTAGAATTGTTCAAGGTATGAAATATTTTTCATATGATTGAAATGTTTTAAAGTGTGAGGGTGTCTAGCAAATATTATTTTGCTTTACCCTAAAGAGTATGTTGTGTCAAATTGTTAGTCTTATTTTTTATAAATGCCAAGATGTTTTAGTGTTGTGATTTAGAGAGGTAAATTAATTAAGAGAAGGCTATTATTTGCATGAGGGCAGAGTTTAAAATTTTGCGTGGCTTGAAACAAGTATTATGATAGTGGTACAAAATTTAATCATTTATCTAGTGCAGTAGATAAATGTATTTTGAAATAAGTACATGACTTATTTAATTATCTTGGCATGAACATTCATTATGCGGATTATGAATAATAATTTATTTATATATGTTATGGCCCATATGAGATAAATAGAATATTTTTTAAATTATGAGATTATAAATAGTAGATTTCTCAGTTTATAAAATACACGAATGTTAATATGAGAAGAGTCACTAGTGATTATTCACCCTTAGTGGTGATGAAAACAAATATAAGAATAGGATCATAGAGCTTATTACTATGAAAAATATGACACTTGGTGTCAATGAGTATTCTTGTAATACTAACATGGTTAAAAAATGAAAATGGAATGGTTTCATTGCTCAATATATATATATATATATATGCACGTACAAACTTTAAAGAGTTTACTGCATTGATTAATGTTAATCCCATAATATAGTTATGTTGCATAGAGATTGAGCATATCAAATAGTTTTATAAGAGGATGAGTCAATTCATTTGAGGATACCAGAAATATTGGTATCATGAATAATGGAATTCCATTGTATTAAAATAATACAATAATGTTAACTAAATTTTATATTCAGATGAGGAAAAATTCATTAGTAGCCAAATAAAATATTATGTGAGTTAGAGTTTATTACTCTGAAATTGGCTAATAAAGAGGCTGAGTAGTTGAGAAACTTCTCAGTGAATATTCTACTATGAGTAACACCGACACAAGCCATGTTGATGATTTGTGATTGTCAAATGACAATAGTCATTATAAAGAGAACAATGGCATATATAAATATTATTTGGGATACAATTAAGCATGCTAAAAAAGAAAAAAATGTGTTGTCCCAAAAATATTAGCCTCTTTTTATAAATGTCAAGTTATTTTGGTTTAGAGAAAATTTATGTGGAGGCTTTATGACTTGTATAAATACAAAAAAATTGTGTTTTATCAAGATGGTGGCACAAAATTTAGTCATTTGTCTAGTGTAGATAAATGAATTTTGTAGTAGGTACATGACCTATTTAATATATCTTGGCACAAGTATTCATTGT